AAACGCGACTTTCACGTGTACAGCTTTTTCTTTTCTGTGAAGAAATTAAAGACACGATTAATACAAGTATAAGCTATTAATTAGTCAGCACTTTAATTTGCACAAGAATATGTAATTACACTTTATATATAATATGAAGGAAAAAGTAAATTAGAAAATAGCTTATTGAATATTTTAATTTAACAGAACACGCAAAAATTATCTCGAGAATATAGTAATCAGTAATCCATTTGCTTGATATAAGAATATGAAAGTCTAAGAATTTAAGAACAATTAATTATCGTCATAATAATAATTATCTACAAAATTTAAAAAATTAAAATTTAGCAATTTGGAAGAATGTTCTGATATTTTAAAAATCTAAAAATTTAACTAACTTTAAGTAGAGTTCAATTCAGAGGATCTAGAGAAATTTAATGGACCTAGCAAAATCTCGGAGAAGATGGGAATTTAAATAATTAAAAAACTTGAAGCTTTCTAATTGATATTTTGTAAATACGAAATTCTGAAAACTTTAAATTCTTTACAAACTTTAAATTCTAAATTCCACGTGAAAATTTTAAATTCTGCGCGATTTAAGATTTCACAATCTTGTGAATTTGAAAAGATGATTTTAACAATCTTCAAGGTTTCGAAAATTTTAAGAGCTTGAAAAATTCAATAATCTCGATGATTTGAAAATTCAACAATTTAAACTGTACTTAGATTTGATGATCTGACGACTAGAATGTCCTATATTCACGGTGGGAACTTGAACGATGGCTAACAACGCGATACCGTCGTAATGATATGTCTCATGCAAAATGACGCGCGTACGCGTCGATCTCCATCATGAATTCATCGAACGTACATGTAACGTGCCTCTAGTGCAAAATCTCGGCGCTAATGCCGTGATAATTAAATCGACTTTACGACTTACGATGCGCCTGAATATCAATCGGTCAGTCGAGCACAATGATTACATCTCGTTAACGGTCGCTCGTGGTATTGCATTAAATGACATTAGCAATGCTGAATGTTGCGAACAGAAACGCATCCTATGGGATAACCATAGGAGGAAACATAAACAATCTTGAACCGGTAAATAATAAGCTGATATTATGGCAAATTTACAAGTCCGTAATTGAAAGCATTTGAGTATAATCAGGGAGATGTGCCCATATATCAGTGCTTGGATTTATCACAGTGGTTTTCATGTTTTTAAGATCTATTTCTCATCTAGACAGAGCAGTTGCAACTCTATACCTCTTGACTTGACCCTTGTTTACAATTCAAATTTTATAGAGATATTCTGTAAAATGTTTATAAATATTTCTAATATTTAAACAATTTATATTTAAACAATTTTCATGAGAACTGACAATATTAACTTTTCTTGATTTTCTTGATTTTCCTAATTTACTTTATTGCTCGAAATATATATTTTGGATACAAGATTTAAATGCATTTATAAACTTTAATTTTACAGGAGCATATTTTTATTTTAAATTATAAAAAAATGAAGATTTTATTAAGAACTGAAAAGAATGAAGTCATTAAATACGACAAGGTGAAGCAAAAAAGTTTGAAAACCACTGAACAATTTTGCGCATCGCAGCCCGTTGAATCAATCATACGCTGTTCATGATCAGTTTTCTAAGCGCATCAATTCTCGCTACGTGCGCCACATTCTGAGGCACCATCTTCTTTCTCTTCCTCGTTTCTTTTTGCGCTAAAATCGCAAGTATGTTTGTGTTGTGCACGTTCGCGAAATATTTCTGCCGCACACAACCGAGGGATAATTAGTCTTCGGGGGAGCAGGATCGAACCGAGAATCGCCGCTCTCTTCCGCTCGTTTTAACCCGCATTCCCGGTGCTGGTGATGCGCATTCCGCGGTATCAGCGTGAGCTATACGCCTTATTAATCTCGATCCGCGGCAGATACGTCCGCTTATATACGGGTACACGATACTACACGACGGAAGCCCGCGAGCTGGAAACGCGTGTCCTTCGCCCGAGCTTGTCGTGTAATCCCGCGGGACTTGAACTCGCTGCGCGCAATTAAATCCAACGATATCTCAGGAGATTACATTCCCGCGTATGACAGTCGCGCGGAGTTCGCGCCACTGAATCTCGTAAATGACGCAAAGTTTGTCGTCTTAGTTAACGATTTACAACGAGCTCTATACGCTCAACAAGCCCCGGCGTCAGCTGATAATAGTTTCGGGAGGGAAAGCTTAAGGGAAGCGTTGTCTTCTTCAATATACATTCTTGTAAGAGAGTTCTCTTCGTCTTACGGGAGGATAATATCCTTAGTTATAATGAATACTAAATTTTCGACGGAACTTGTATAAAGCTTTCATGCGTTTATGCTTAAAAGACAGCTACTTCTTGGAATAGTTTCTTTCTCTCTCTCCCTCTGTTTCTCTGCCTCTTCTAACTTTTTTTATACGAGAAGTATATGGGAGAGCACGTTCGAGTATGTATAGAGTTCAATGGACACGTCCGACTAGACTGGTCGCGAGGAAATCGCGTTCTAAGTCTCTCTCCTTTTCTTCCTCGAGATGATGTTTCCCCGAAAGCAGTATAACTTAGCTAAACGCGAAGAAGCCCGTTAGACAGGACAAACCTTTAGGAGACAAAGCTTCGCGAGAGGCTGTTAATTGCGTGTTTGTGGAAACCGAGCGACTGGGTCGTAAAAGCACTTTCGTGTGGCGGCGTTTTAAATAACGATTGATGACAAGTTCTCAGGGACAGAGAGAGAAATACAACTTTCTGGAAATAGTATATTCTCCTCACGAAACGCTAGAAGAAGTAAGAAAGACCGATATAAATAATTAAATGCATTTGTATTGATGTGTAATTAATTAGTAATTGCAGATATCGTCGAAAATATAAAACGGAGAAAATCAAATATTTTAATTCATTTCGGAATAATTTTTTAGAGAATTTTAAAGAAGATTCAAGATTAGGCATTTTGCAATACTTGCAGTTACTGTAATTAATATTTAGAATTGCTTCTAGGTTGTCAGTTCTTCTCTTATTATTATTATTATTTTATATTGCAAAAGAATCATCTTCTTCTTTCATTCTATTGACTTTTTATTATGTGTTACACATCGTAGATTTTGTTATTTGGTACGAATGCGTTGAACGAGCGCGAAAATAGAATGAACGTGGGCGGCGGAGTAAACCATTAAATGTATTCGGGATTAAAGAAATGAATGCAATTCTGTGCAACGACGACAAGGACGACAAGGATATGCTACGAGATCAATAAATCAATTTTCATCTAATGTCGATTAACGTCTACCACGTAAGGCATGATGAGATCCGAGGTCGTCCGGCGTGGGAAGATGTCCACGGTCGCGGTGCTTTCTCCTTACGTAAGATAAAACGTCCGCGCGAATAAAAATGATAAATCGAGCATGTCGGGCCGCATGTGTAGATTGATTTTATCTGCAGTGAAAATTTCGTGGGAGACCTAATTAATGTCGAGGAATGTTCAAGGAATACAAAGCGATAAATTTGCTTTCAAAAGTATGTAACTGGATGTGAAGATATATTTCACTTTTAAATTAAATTCACACACCGAGCTGAGGAAACTTTCATCTGAATTATCGTCAGAATAATTTGGGTTCAACTGAAAAGATCCAGTATAAAAATGGAATACGTCTAATTCGTGTATAAGATCTCTTTAAATATAAAATTACTTTGAATATAAAAAGAAATAAACACGCGCGCTATGGAACTTTAGATAAATATAATGAGCTTTAGATAATATAATAAATCATTTAACGAGGCAAAGTGAAAGAATTAAATTTTAAGCTAAAGTACAACTTAATAAGATTTATCGATTTTATTTTTATTCGATTTTTTTTAATTGTCAGAAATGATTTATTGTTACGTTCGCAATACTAGCTTTTAATTTAAAATAGCATCCAATCTTGTTCAGCTGTCATTACTAATAGGTCCTTTATCTCTCTATGTTACTTATGATTATCATTTAAAAAGAAAAAGGAGGAATTTTAGTTATCTTTTAAATTAGCGCGCACCAATCTCGAGAAAGCCGACACAACCGTTAACGAGCTGTTAACGAACTGTTGATTAAGCGGCCCATTTATAAATATGACAGTGTTAATTACAAACATTATATCAATCGCGGATCGGACGACGCGGCGAATTAATGGCGGTCCCGATTCAGCCGAAGTAGCGCTGAGATGGAAAGATGGCAATTTCTTACGCGTCGGAATCTAGCTTCTAACGTGAACCAGCCGCTTCTACCGGACGCTTAATTAAACTCGATTAACATCTAACGATCATTTGCTCACTCGCTTACCATAAAGCGCTGATTTACAGACCCAACAATACCAAGTATCGTCACGATGCAATTTATTAACTTATCGAATATTCGCCAACTGTCAACTTAATAACACTTTTTTGTCGTTTTATTTGAAATTTCGAAATTGCATACCCAATTTCTATGCAAAATCAGAAGAACGATTGTTCAAAAAGAAATAAAAAATATTCATTTTTATTATTTATTGTCAATTTATTGGTCAACTACGGCGATATGCTACGGCCAATCTTCATCCATTTATTTATTACTCTTTATCATATTTTATTATTCTTTATCTCGCTATATGTGCTCATCAATTTTTTTATATCTACCGAAAATCCAAGTGGACGTTGCGTTGAAACATTTCAATTTACAAAGAAATCATTCTAAGCTTTTTTTATTTTTCGGGCATTTTTTTTCTCCATAATTTATACTATTTTCTCCATTTTATAAATGAACGGTATTATGCAAAAATAATCCAACAATAATATTTTAAAATATACCGAGTTGCAAAGAATTTTTGTTATTCATTGAAGAACAAAAATGTGCAAAAAAAAAATACACGATTCATTTCACTCGGATGAACCCCATCAAAAAATACACAATGCATTATTCGTATAATATTATTGAAATATTAATTAGGTACGAGACTAAAGGCCGCTGCGTACGGTGCGTGTTGCAGGACGTGGTGCACCGCGCGTAACCGCGGCTCTCGTGAGCGATGGAGAAGGTAGGTTGATCGCCACCCCGATTCACAAGGAGAGCATCACCGCGAGGAGCAAGGAGGATCTCGCGCAGGAGGCGGCCCTGGTCCTGCAGCAAGCGGGCAGTCTTCACTGCGTGGCGCGCGACAACCGACGCAGTCTGCCCGGTCGCTTCAGCACCCTCCCGGCGCGTCGTAACAAGAAACGCCCGGAGCTGCCGATCGATGTGAGATCTCGCCGCGGCAGCGACGAGAGTGCCGCGGACCTCGGCACCCCGCGGGCCAAGAAGAAGCCGCTGCTGGAGCGAAGCGTCAGCGATGCCGGCGCGAAGAAGCTAAAGAGCCCGCTCGCGCGCTTCTTCTCGCCCAAGTTGGAAAGGCGGCGGCAGCCGGTCGGTCGGAGTGTCAGCGACGCCGGCACCTGGACCCGTAACGGCGCTCAGCGCAAGCGGAGCGGCAGCGAGAGCGAGGGCTCGCACCTGAGCACCGTCAGCCAGCGAGCGAAGAAACAGCTGTCACCGATAATCGAGGCGTCGCCGCAGCACGTTGATCAGCAACCGTTTCACTTTGACACTTCGGCGTACGCGGACCGCGAAAACAATAACCGACCGAAGGAGCCTAAGAAGGGAAGAGAGGAGAAAGAGGAGCGGGCGAGCTCGACTATCGATGTTGACGACGTGACATCAGCGCAGGAATTTGAGACGAGAAAGACGATCGAAGGAGCAACGACAGCCGAGACGTGCGACGACGAACCCGATAGATCGTCCAGCCGAGAGGCGAAGGTGATCGAGCATCATATATTCGTCGAAGGTAGGGACGACGAAGAGAAAAGGGAGATCGCAGGAACTAGCCGTACTCCCTCACCTCCAAAGGACCGCAAACGCGGGGAAGACGAGGTCGATAAAGCGAGCGCGGATAGTATGCTACATAGCAGCCGCTACGATCTTCAGCAACGTAACCAGCAAGAGTCTACTATTCATAAGATGATTCACCGATTGTCCAACGACCGCTCGCCGCCACCGCAGCTGACCAGAACGATGATGTCACCGTCACCAGGATTCAGCCACAACAACAACCGGCCGTTCTCTTACACGAGACCGAACGAATCTTGCAGCCCGCCACCACCGCCGCAAACCAATGTCATCTACGCGCAGGTGCAACCGGACAAGAAGAAGGCGCAGCGAAGCCATTCCGATAGCGACGAGGGCCTCGGTCTCGAGAGGAAGGACTCCTCGCGCGAGAATAGTCCTGCGGAGAAAGAATATCGTAGGACCGAATACTCGTACAGCAGCGATCTGCGTCGCAACAATGAGATTAACGCCTTTAAATCGAGATACGAGGAGGATCGGAAGAACGGCGGCCTCTTCGGCAAACATTTGGATAGCACGAAGGACTTTAGCTCTAGAACGAACGAGATGACGAAACGTTACGAGTTCAATGATATCGATAGGCGTCTCTACGACAAGCCCGAGAAATACACGTCGACCGTGTTCGTGGATACTTCCGGCCGCGGCAGGGCCGACGGTATGGATTCCAAACGAAGAGATAGCGGCGAGCTGTCGTCGAGGCAGAACGAGAGCGGGATCTCGCACAAGACGTCCGAGTTGAGCGCGCGGCGGGATTTACTGGAATCCAGAATCAAGTCCAGGCTGCTTGCCGATGAGATGTTCGCCGCCAAGAACAGCATTAACGTGCCGGTGAAAAAGTCGAGCGAGCACGAGATAATCGACAAGCCGATCGTGCCGTCGCCAGTTACGCCGAATCGTATCGCGTCACCAAAACGATACATGGACACGTACATCACGGAGAAACGTACAAACAGTAATGGCGAGAAGTACATCTTCGAGAAGGAGATACACGAGGATAACGGCAAGGTTTATGGTTACGAGAAGAAGATCACCAATAAGATTCCGACCAACAGCTACCTCAACGCGAAACCGAAGGACGGCTACACCGTGGAAACCAAGACGGACAAATACGGCGACAAGTACATCGTGGAGACGCGCACGCACGAAGGTTACACCGATATCAATCCATTCCTTGGCGATCGTAATCGGAGCAGTCCGGAAGAGAGATTTCAGGCTGTCAGAAACGGTGGCAGCTCTTACAAGCCGTCGCATTATCTATCCGAGAATATCGACGCAACGACGAATCACTTTCGCAGCGAATCGCGGGAAAACGAGCTATCGTCGCCAATTATCGCCAAGAAACTGAACGAGCGCAAGTTTTCCAAGAGCGATGACTTCCTGGATCGCGAGAACCGGCCGATCGGACGCGTGCTGCCGAAGAAGAAGCCGTTCGAGTCGATCCGCGGCATCAGCAAGTCGACGCAGCGACTGGACGAGGTCGCCGGGGAGAACGCGAGGGTGCGGGCCCTGAGGAGCGAGTACACCACAAGGTCGCACGAGAACCTGACCAGCCACGCGGGATACGTGAACGCGAGACGACCGACCGACAGCCCGACGATGAACGGACGCAGGACGAGGTCGCCGTTCGCGAAGCGGCACCTGGATAGTTTGCGCGAGGGTCCGAACGACGACTACGACACCGATATCTCGCAGATGACCAGCAGTCAACTCGAGTCGAAATATTACAAGGAAACGCGCACCACGCAGAGATACACGAGCGGCGGGCAACATCCGATTCACGATGATTACGACAGCTCGCCGCCGAGGATACGCACCGATCGCGGGGGCTACAACTCTAGCCGATACGATTCGGACACCACCGCCAGGGACTCGATTCGCTGCGAGACGCGCTACGACGAGACATCGCGCACTCTGCGAAAGGAGCACCGCAAGCTGGACGACGATCCGAAGAAGCCGCTGAGGCGATCGCGCAACCGGCTCGACTACTTCGACGATTCCGATGATCCCCGAGGGAAGGTGTCCTCGGTCAGTCGGTTGGAGACCTTTGACGAGAGCCCGACTAGACCACCCAGAACTTATCACGAGGGCAAATCGAGGCACGCGCGGCAGGAGGCGCGGGGACATATCGAGCGCCGTCATCGTGAGACTCAGCTGAGCGATCCGGATCGCAAAGATCGACTGGCCGATTCCGGGATCGAGAACGATTATAGGAGAGACTCGCAGGAGGCGGACAGGCGCGAGCAACTCGAATCCGAGGACGAGGGTTTCGTCAGCCGACAGTTTATCAAGCACGAACGACGGCATACGGATCGCAACATGAATTTGACGTCTACTTCCGAGCAGCGTAAATACGACAAATACGTAAACGACTCGAAACCGCCGCTGGTCACCGCGAAGCCGCCTACCGGTGCCGCCGACAAGAAGTACGAGAAGAAGGTAGCAAAGAAGAGCGGCACCATGAGCAAGGTCAAGCAGCTGTTCAGCAAGAAGGAGAAGAAGACGAAGGAGGAGAAGGACAAGAAGAACGCGAGGAGCGGCAGCAGCGGTGCCTTGACCGACGACGAAGTGACGATGAGGTATCGAGAGTATCGCGGCGATCAGCTGAGGAGCGCCAAAAGCGCGCGGGATTTGGGCAGCGACATCAATCAGGTAAGAGAATCTTTTTTTTCTCTCTTCTACGGTCACCGTACGCGCGAGATTAACTACCTCGAGGTTAAGACGCGAAGCACATTAGGATTACGTCAACGATGACGGTTGATGATTGATCGATTTTCTCAGTTATCTGGGTCAATGGACGTTAAGCACGGTCAGCAGAATCGCATACGGATGCTTTAGGGTGTATCGTTATGCGTTATATTTCATTATATTTAACGTTTATTTAATGCTCCGGATTTAATTATTAAATTATTATTTAATTATTTAATATATTTAATATATTATTTAATATATTTGATTCATTAATATATTCAAAAATTGTTGTCGATTCATAATTGAATCGTAAAATGTCAGAGAGCTTAAGAGAGATGTATACCTGTTTATTTTATTTTATGAATATTTAATATTTTCAAACGATCATAACGAAATAATGTATATATCTTTGCGGAAGAAATACATCTTTTCGAGAAGGAAAAAATCTGAATACATGGATTATAAACTCAATCAGTTCAAGGTAATACATTATCGTGTTTCCGGGATTTTCCAAGTTCTCCATGCTGTTCGCAGGAAGAGAACATGCACGATAATATATCAAAATGATCGCGCGCGACCGCAAGTGATAGCGTTTCCAACATCATCTCCGTTACTCTGAAAAAAAAGAGGAGATAAGGCTCATGTGATATTAATCAGGATGATCATCGTGCGCGAGAATCATAGGGCGTTTAGCACCAGAGATTCCTGTTCCGTTCACGCCATATTTACGCGATTGTCGCGGATTAAAGGCAAGAGGGGCCGTTTCCACGTGCGATTTTGCTTTCGTGATCGTGGGATAATTTTCTCGCGATTTTTCCGCCGATTTTAATCTGTCGATGACACCCTCGATGTTCGATACGCATCGCGAACCGGAAGTTACCGGGTAATTGGGCCCCGAGCCGACTGCCGTTGCAATTGCGTCATGTCTAACTGTACACTTAGCCGGCCTTTAACCACCCAGTCGCGCTTTTCAGCAACTTAACGGGCGACCACGCGGCAGGATTACACCGTCGCCCACGCTCGCGTAGAAATATGTCCTTTTCGGAATATCTATCATGCAAACGTACGCGCACACACATACAAGCCGTGACAAGATAATGCGACTCCGCAAAACTAGATAGACTCTGACACGTTGAATCGAGTTGATTCGCATCGCACGTGTGACACAATTTTAATTTTTTAATTTCAGTTTGCATGATTTTCCATATGAAACAGATAAAAACATCATACGATATATAAAAATATAATAGTTACAACATAATAGTCATGTAACTTCTTTGCTAAATGTAGATATAATAATTTGATAAAAAATTAAAATGTGATAAAAGGTGCAGTAAATTTTGATTATATATAAACTTTAAATATTTTAATGTTGAAAGAAGAAAAGAAAAATTGGATACATATCGTTGATGCAAAAAAAATAATAATTTGAGAAAATTAAAATGCGATAAAAGGTGTAGTAAATTTTGATTATATATAAACTTTAAATATTTTAATGTTGAAAGAAAAAAAGAAGAATTAGATACATATCGGTGACTCAAAAAGAAATAATAATTTGATAGAAAATTAAAGTGTGAAAATTAAAGTGTAAAAGGTGCAGTAAATTTTGATTATATAAACTTGAAATATTTTAATGTTGAAAGACGAAGAGAAGAATTAGTCCATAGTTGGTCCAAAAAGAAGAAAAACTTAAAAACTTGGGAAAATATTATGAATTATGAATATTCATGCATGTACGAGACTTGTATACATGAAAAGTGAACTCATTTTTCTTTCTTAACACAATTGAGAATCTGAGAATTACCGAGTTTGGTTCATTTATCAATGGACAGTTACGAATGTTATGGTAGGCTCGAGAATCCTGTATACGAGGCGCACGATATGTTCGTCGATCTCGCGAGTTAAGCGGGATAGACGTTACCCCGTAACGGAGCTTTCGCTGTCGGACGTCGCCGGGATCCCGTATGAAGAGTAATGATACAGCGTCCGCGAGCGATCATCGACATGAAAGTCCACTGCCTCCTCTCTTGGGAAATAAGCCCGAGTCCCGCGCGCGGAGACTCGCCGGACGTAACATTTAACCCGAATGATAGATAATTCTCTCCGCTCGCGCACCGTGGCCCCAGGTGATTTTTCCTCGCAGTAAATCTCAGAACGATCGTTATTCCTCGATTGCGCAACTCGTCAAGCCGCTCGCCCACCAGGTATTCAATTTCGCGACGATCCGACAGCGCGCGATAAATAGAATACACGCACACAGATAGTATACTCGATGCAAACGTACGTAAAAAAATGGAGCGTCTCTTACATTCACGCTCTGATTAATCGATCATTTAATATTCCGATTACCACCGTTGTCCTCTGTTCACGGTGTAGTGACTCGGTCAATCTCGGCCGAGTGCTCTCCGCTCTAATTTCCCTTCGGCGAGTCCCTAACTCGATTACGCGCGCGAGCACGTGTTATTAACACGCGTTCCTGCCGCCGCGCTCATCCAAGTCGATTTACTGCGCGTTACAGCCGTAAACGATTTGCAGCGAAGGTCGCGATCGCTGCCGGCCGGGTGCTGTAATGCGTCATGCAAACGCACGAATATAAAATATCGAAGCCATTATCTAATTAGACGAACACGCCGTAAATAAGGACGCTTATGTGGTATATGCACAGAAAAAAAGGATATTCTTGTTTCGAAAATATATTTAGTTTTAACATGGAAATCTTGAAATGAGATTATATCGTGTTAATGAAAGAAAAATATATATATTATATTATAATTGCTTGAATAATTGTTTACTTGAATGAAGCCATTTTATATAGTTGAATCAAGAAAAATATATTCTTACGATTTAAGATTTAATTTTCTTGAATAGAAAAGAAATAGAAAATAACATTTTTAAATCAGAGATTATAATTTTCTTGAGGTGACAATTACAATATTAAAATAAGACTATAATATTGTTAAAATTTTAAATTATTAAATTATGAAATTAATTCTTCGAAGAAGATTATAAATTGTTGCGTATATACGAAACAATGAACGCGTTAATTTAAGTATATAAATTTTGATTTGACACTTATTTTTTTCTGTGTATATATCGCACTGCCTCTGCCGGCGTGGAAAGGGAGACAAAATTGCTCGCTCGTTCGCGAATGTTTCCAACGCGAGAATCGTGAGAGTTGATTGTGATGATGACTCTCGAAAGGACCCACGGTCCTCGAGCGAAACGTATTTATTGCCGCAAATGTCGGAGGAGAATCAAACGCTACGACTATCCATTTCATCAATCATTCGCAAATTCTCGGCGATAAATCTCTAATTTTTGCCTCAGGTAACAAATCTAATATAATTTACACTTCACAGCCGTAATTACTTTTTTTCACCTACTTTTAAGGAAAAATCTCTTTATACTTGATTAACAGTTTCGAAGCGGATGAAAAGTAGCAGAGGTAAATTTTAAGATTCGACGCGATCTAAAAGAATTGGCCTGGACAGCAGAATAATTCTCCGGAGATTGATACACATGCTGCGCAAGGCGTTGAATAGCTCTCGTAGATGCGATCACGCTAGTTCCATCGATGAGAGATTAATGGGCCACAGCGTGTCGTCGGCCGTTGGACCGAAAGCTGCCAACTCTAAAAAGAAGGCAGGCCGGTAAAGAAGAGGGCGAGCGTGAAACGCGTCCACGAAACGAGTCTCACGGCGAGTCGTTACACAACTCGTTACACACGACGCGTGACAGGTGTTCGTACGACGCGAGCGAATTGAACTAAGACGGCGTTTTGAATTTTACGCACTCCACTTGCGCGGAGATGATCGTAAACTAACGATCGTCGCCTATCTACGCGTGACCCGAGATGTACCTGGACTATAAGCTCGTTATCGGATAATTTATCTCATCGGACGATCTATTTGTTGAATCCGATTCAACGGCGACCATTATCCCCTTCGTCCGCATTTCGCGCGTCCCATTTTCTGTCATTCCGCCTCCGTTAATCTCCGGTGCTTTCGCACTTTGTCATTAATCGCGGCCACGTCGCCCTGGGACACGACGGAACATTTGCCTCTCCCCGCTGTTCGCCGATCATCGAAACCGTGCCCCTTCTTCTTCCTCCTCCTCATCACCCTTACCCTTCGTCTCTCCTCTTGCCGAACGAGTTACGCGACTGAGAGCAAACAAACCGCGGCGCATGCACCGACGAAGGTGCCTGCTCATTCTCGGCGGAGACTTCGTTTTCTCACGCGGCGGGACTTGGTTGCGCAATTTGCATGGCGCGAAATTATAAGGCGCTAAGTATCATTTTTCAAACGTGAAAGTTCCGAGGTCTTATTGGCCAATTTTATTACGGCTATATAACTCTGTGATATAAGCTCGGCTCGTTTCGAGAAATATAACATAACATTGCTATTTTTATAATAATATATATGTAAAATAATATTATTTTAAAAATACAGTTTTATATATTTACATATATTTCCCAACAATCTAACTTCAATGATTATAAATAGAACTAAAAAACATATTTTATTACATTCATAAAAATCATCATCTAGGTTCGTCAGAATTTTACTTTGTCTAAATAAAATAAATAATACAAGTTTAATAAATTAATTAATATTCAATTTAGAATAAATCAATTTTATATTATATAATAGTATAATAATTTGTCGAAGACAAAATATTAATTTCGATAACCCTCTCACCTGCGCGCACGTCGCGTCCCTCCTCGCAGGTGTTTGCGCGCGCGAATCGAGTAGCGTGTAAAGCTGGACCGGCTCGGTTGCGGCTGGAGGCTGCGCGCGCGAGATGATCGAGCATTATCGTATCTCGGAACACCCACGCGCGCGGCCGCCACGTCGCACGGCGACGAGGGAAAGAACGGGCATTGGTGTCGCGGTCGACCGATCCACGCCCAGGTGCAAAGACACATGCTCTTGCACGGAGGCGCGATGGTGCTTTCGCAA